GCCATATACTTCTCTTGTTCAAGCCAGTCTCTAAATTTCCACTGTAAATGCCTTGCATATAATTTGCTTAGAGTACTACGTAAGCTAATTAGTCTATTATTTGCAGGTACATCCTTATTACCTTTCTTGTATATAGGAAATAATTGAAACCCCCCAATCCTTTGGAATTTCCCCTGTTCTATCAATTGCTGTAAATTAGGCTGCTAGGAGTGGAATCCGTCATTCTGAATGCTTTTTTATTAGTTCCGGTGGAATTAAATCAACACCAGAAGCTTTCCCAGATCTTAATGTTTGAATGAGGTTTTTAACCTCAGTAGGTTCAACTGGTGGGCATTCTGGAAGATTTATCGCACTACCATAATCAATTCCCCTTATCTCATTATCAGCATATATTTCCCTAAAATATCTTTCCCATTCTTCTGGTATATACAGTTGTTCATTGTTACCATGGACCTGACTGGAACATCTGATACAAGCCGCCAAAACAGGGATGTATTTTTATTCTGCAATGCTTGTCTCAGGTGTAACCATCCTGCTTCCATATGATCTTTTTTCTTGCACCGGAGAAGTGCTTTATATTGTGATTTCTGATATTTCAACTCATTGAGGATGGCATCCTGTGGGTTAGTCATATATCTATTATAATTAACACTTAGATCCTTTTTTGCTTTTTTACAGTCATTATCAAACCAATCTGCAGAATGTCTTTTATGAGCCCTATTATTTTTCTCGTTTACTCCTTTAATAACCCTTTGAAACTCTTGAATCATCTGCTCATAACCACTCAGACAAGTCTCTATGTTATTTCTAACTTATCAGATGAAAGTAACTCACCTATCATGTTGTCTATCCTCTGATTCCATCTGATCCTATTCACTTCCTTTGCATTATCTATCTGTTCTATATGACAGTCTTCAATATGCAGATTGATAATAGGAATTTTTACCTGCATACTGAAAGGTAGATGATCACTCCCATTATAGTTATTGACTTCGAATGATTCTATATATTGTATCATATTTTCCGTTACAATAATATAATCTGTCACACTCATCCTGGTCCCTGACCAGTAAGTAAATTCTGTAGGATGATCTTTTAGATAAGATCCATTTAAGATACAGAGGTTCATTCTGTTAATTACCTGTGCCATGATATATCCAGCATAATTTGCTTTTGAATCCCTTGAGTATTTAGGATAAGGTAAATAATAATTTCCAGTCTCTGGATGGCAGTCTTTATATAATGTTTCCTGAGGAGGTTCTTTTGTATGTGGATTGGCTGTTGAAATTCTAATCTTATCTGTAGTGCTATTGTCAGATGTAGAGCCTTTTGTGTTTTTCAGGACAGGAAACCATGCCCTATTTATTTTTAAACTCTCTTTTTTCCTGTTGAAATTGTGTTTATGTTTAAGAATTTCAGGAAACAATCCATATACAAAAGAACCTCCTCAGGAAAGCTCCTCCATTAGCATGTTCATAGCCTGGAGAACTCCTACAAGATAATGATTCAGCCCTACCCCACCTTCTGGGGTAGATATAAACCTGCGTACCATTTTTCTTCTCACCTTGACACAGAAAGTACTCTGTCTTTCTGTGTTATACCTCTGAGGATGCCAGTCACAGCTACTGGTGAAACGTCAGGTTCTACAATGCCAAGACCATGGCCACACAACCCAGGAAATCTACAGCAACTAATAAAAAAACATGATTTCTTTTTATGTCTGAACCAAGAAGATAATGCTCATACATTCCTTACTTTGATCTCCTCCCTCTGTTGCCTTCTGCAGTGTCAAAGCTTCAGCAGTTTTGCCATAAGTGTGATATAAGTCAGCAGTTCTCAATTTTACCCAGCAACTAATAAAAAAACATGATTTCTTTTTATGTCTGAACCAAGAAGATAATGCTCATACATTCCTTACTTTGATCTCCTCCCTCTGTTGCCTTCTGCAGTGTCAAAGCTTCAGCAGTTTTGCCATAAGTGTGATATAAGTCAGCAGTTCTCAATTTTACCAATTTAGGACCATTATTTTGATTTAATTTTGGGGGAGATCGCCAGTATTTTCCCTTCTTCCTCACCAGCACATGTTACATGCTGGACAGTCACTTTTCAAAGTGTTACAGTAAGTTGCATGTAGATGATGGATTCTTCCCTCCTTTCATATCCTCAGAAGTATTCAGTGAGATACTTCCTTTAAAGCCCAAGTTTCAGAAAAATGTATTGTCTGTACATGGCCTACAAGGTCAGGTCTCAAAGTGGTACTGACTATAGGGCCACAGTGCTAAAGAAGCTGACAGGTCTAACCATTTGCAAACCTTCGATTAGAAGGGACTTTGAACTGGACTGGAGACATCAAGAAACTTCTTTATCGGTTAATAACTTCTAGATAGAGGCCAGCTGAAAGTGGTGGGAAGGAACCTGGAAATGCTTATAGAAACAGAAGACTACCAGCATCACATAAAATCTGAATTTCTGGTAGACAATTCAAAATTGCCATTGGCTGTTATTGTCTCTGGACGTACAGGCATCTGTCTTCATGCTGAAATAAATTGTACTGGAAATTAGAGTGAAAAGCAGAAGTTAACTATGATGACTGCATTACCTTCTTGGTACTACTTAAACCAATTAGAGTTCCCAGGGCTTTGTAACTGATTGGCTGGTTTCCAGCAACCAATGAGAGGTTTTTTAGGCTCATGCTCTGTGGTGATGGGGAAGATAGGTAAGTGCAGGTGGTGGCATCTCAATGAGCTCCTGCCCTTTAAAAGAGGGACGGAAGCATTCAGTTCCTTCCCCATTCCCCTGAGGTCCCTGGCCCCTTTCTGAGGAAACACAGATTACTCTATTTTCTCATTTTCTAGATGGGAAAAGAAAGGATTGCCCTGTCTTTGTAAAGTATCATGGATCTCTTACAGTACCCTTGAACACTCTAAGGAGGTTTGCAACTTTCTGAGTTTAAGAAATTTTTATATAAGCCAAATCAGTTTGGGAGTTTAAAGCAGAGACTCAGTTGGTCCAATTTTAACAGAATGTATTCTGGGAATAAAGATATATCTCTGTATATCTCTATATCTATAGTGTGTGCGTGTGCTGTAATAGTGCTTGTATTATTCTGAAGACAAGTGCTATGGAAAATGGAAGTTTTCAATTTGGGTGAATTCATTAAGTGATAGATAAGCAGATAAAGACAAAACATATATTATGTTATAGATACGGATGGACAATGTATTGAAAATATTTGAACTTGAGTAACCCATATTTGTAAAATACGTTAAGCATGCCAGATTCAGAAGATGAAAATTAATGTATGAATTATTTAGCTAACACTGCTCTTTTGCCACAAAATCTGGTGTTTATTATTGTGAGCTTTAGCAGGAAACAGAAGCAGTATCAGTTGGGAAAACATTTCTTTACAGAACTGAGAACAGTTTGGCGTTCTGGTTTCTAAGTGGGGAACCAGGTTCTTTGGTTTCTTTGTTCCAAGTTAGACGACTCCCAAACTATTTTAGCTGAACATTTTACATACTAATGGAGGCAAGGGAAGTTAAGTTGGCAGCTGTTCGTGGGATAATAATGAAGCACACTGTTTAGCATTGCATATCCTCACTGTAAAATGTGAGAAGTATTTTATGGAGACCATGGTGAGCAGGGATATATCCACTTTGTGTGATGTAAGTGCATGAACTGTAAGTGAGGAAACTTCTGTTTGTTTTTCTTTATGTGAAAGTAACTGGCAATCACTTTCCTGTTGCAGGTGAAGAAAACGTGCACAGATACGGATGTTTCAGAACCACAGAATTCCAGGTAGAATAACTAAACATAAGTGTGTCAATAAGAAGGCTGAAGTAATATATTATGAGACTATTTGCCAAAATCATAATTAAAGCCAAATATGACTTAAAATAGCATGATAGATTATTTGCTTTCACAAACTAAACATTATTTCTTTGAAATGCAGAGGAGATAAAAGTTGGCAATTACTGATCTTAATTAAGAGACAGAAATTAATAGGCAAAATCAACAGAAAAAGGATAAATGGACAAATAATAGTATGGTTAGAGTTCTTTTGATAGCGTTTTTTTATTTTTTGTATATGCATAATCATCAGTTTTTAGTATCACAATTTCTGTCACTTATGTAGAGAAAACAGTAGAAAAATATGGCATTTTTCAATTTAGCATTTATTTCATGCATATAATACTTTTATGACATTTTGTGTGTGTTTTGGGATCTAAATAATAATCTGTTGATATGCCATCCAGTATGTTCTGAGGTTACATCTGTTTTGTGTAAAATTTGTAATATGGAGCAATATTGGTCTTTCTTAGTTGCTTCATTCATCTTTGGGCATTGTAGTACCCTGTATTTTTAATATACTTTTGGATTGTAAATTGCAATTGAACAAATAATGCATGATTGTTCCTTCCCCAGTCCTTTAATCTCCTGAGGTAAGCAAGATATATTAGGTTCAGGGTAGTGGGGATTTGAATCCAGCTCTACACCAACTACACCTCAACACTAGGGCCATTACACAGAAACAAACTCAAGTTGGCCACCAAATGTATATGCAAAAGGGACGTTTCCCCAAATCCTAGTATGACAACCATACTTGCATGCTTAAACTCCTATGTAATGTGTATAGCAATACTCAAAAGTACTTATGTAGCCCTGTTACATATGCTTTCCTGAAGTGTGTTTTGTGCAGTCCTCAGAACCTTAGAATAAATTTCAGCCATCAAAACTGAGTTTTAAAATATACTGTCAAAACTGGTTCCATCATTTTGCACAGTTAACCCATGAGCCAATTTGATTAATATTATAAGAGAATTCTCATCCATTAATTGGAAATGAAGCAGTTTTATAGAATCATGGAATCATAGAGTTGGAAGGGACCTCCAGGGTCATCTAGTCCAGCCCCCTGCACAATGTAGGAAATACACAAATACCTCCCCCTTTACACCCGTAGTGACCACTGTTCCATGCCCAGAAGTTGACAAAAAACCTCCAGGACCTCCAGCCAAACTGGCCTGGAGAAAAATTGCTTCCTAACCCCAAAGTGGCGTCCAGCATTTCCCTGAGTGTGTAAGAAAGGGCCACAGGAACTTTTAACCATAGCTTGGATGCACCTCATGTGTACACACTGGTAATTTGGTAAATAATGACAATTATGTATAAATTAGGCAAGTTTTCCAAGTCCCCGTTGCCTTATTGCATTTTTCTGAAATTAACTATATGTACTTAACTTTACAATATAGGATATTTAGATGATTTTAAAAATAGCTGTATAGCTTTTTCACTCATGAAAGATAAAATGATGTCTATTAAAGGGAATCTGTGGAGTATTTTATTTTTCCTTAGTTTCTGTATTTATCTGAAAGATTGAAATCTTGTAGATACATTTTAGAACATAATCTTAAATGGTTTATGAATGCATTTTGATTGTGGACTTTTTAAAATAACTGATTGACCTTTGGTTGTAGTGGTACCAGAGAGCACAGCTATAGGAAAGCACAAAGTCCAGGGCAAGGTGATTCTTCTTAAAATAACTCTTGTGCAAACATTGTACCTAAAATGAAATGTCAGCAAAAAGGGATGTTGGAGGTGCATTCACTTTCAGAATAGCTTCTGGCCTATGAGTTGGGGCCAAAATCTTTCATTTATTTAGCTTGCTTTATTGTGTGTTGGTTTTGGACTTGAAAGTATTAGAATAAATGCAGATGGAATATGTTTTTACAGTAGGGAAGTAATTAAGTTGGGTGTGGGAACTTTGTCAGGCGAATTCTTGGAGTGACATGTGTGTATCAGCAAATTCTTTGTCTGTCTTGGCTTTCTCTTTTAGAAGGAAACATTCAAGATATATGTACATATATGTGTAAAGGGAATTACAAACATAAGGAAATATATTGTGAAAGATTGATTCTGGGGACAACTTGCTGTGCATTTGACTGAGAGACTGTGAGAATACACATAACAAGAGGGGAAACAAAAATGTGAAATTAGTTATGATCTTTCTGTAAGACTTTTACATGTGCATTATTCTGTTTATTATATTTTATAATATTTTTCTTTTTTTAAAAAAGGAAGAAATTTACCATAGAGGGAATTATTTTGATCAAGAGCTTGATACGTGATAAAATTACTGTACTCTTAACATTGTGGGAAGTTATCAATACAGATTTGAGACCCATTGCAGAACTGTTATTGTCACACATGCCAGATAACGCGCGGGGGGGGGGAAGCGAGGCAATTTGCTCCATAGTAATTTGACTGCCACTGTGTGATCAGACACAACGGCGGGTGAATCGGGTTTTTTTCTTCGCCGCGTATTTCCGGTGTGCTTCGATGAGGGATCACTGACGCAATGGGAGCACGCTGGAGCAATCACATGGGGAAGTCCGTCTGCGGCCCATCGCAAACCCGTTTGATACGGCACTTTCCCCGGTATTTTTAAACTCTGCTTCTTTGGCGGAGTGAAACGGGTTGCCGACTGGTGCGGGACGCTTGCCAGATGTTCCCGTGTGATTGCTCCCTTAAAATCCGCCCAGCATTCATGCCTGTTGCAAGGCTAATTCTGCGTGTGATTGGGACCCTAGTTAGCTATCATCTAATAGTTGCAGCTATAATACTACAGTTGTAGAGAACACCACAAATACTGTCTTTGGAATACACAGCTAATAGTATGACTTTGTCCTTCTGGGAAGGGGGAGGGGCTAAAACCAAGTTACATTTTTCTTTACTGTTTCCCATGTTCTGCCCTGCTTTAGAAATGTTGTATGATACAGTTGTATTTTTGCCTCAGGTTGCTTAGGAGAGAAGTCTTATATTTGCCTTTTACCCTACCAAGTCTGAAAGACCTGGGCAAAATTTTTATAAATTAAATAAATAAAATAAATAAACATTATTAGTAGGAATGTATATTTGGCTAGTAACTAAACAAAGTCTAAGTCAAGCATGCCATTAGTTAAGCTTTGTAGAGTCACTAATCTAAAAGAAAGCCTCATAGGCTGCGGTCATACGGAGCATTAGCCATGCTACAGACATGGAAGATAGGCAGATTTTCCGGGCGTGATCACAGCACCACATCTGGGAAGCGTAGAGCTCCCGAGGCTTCCTGCCGAAGATGTGGGGTAAAAAACTAGTACCTCTGAGGTACTAGTTTCCGGAAACCGTGGGGCAAGGGCGGGCACCTGATCGCGTTTCTGGTGGTAGGTCGTGGCATCCGGCGCCTGCCCATGTCCCGTGGCTAAAAGGTTTTTTTTTCAACTCTCCACGGGATGCGCACAAGCACCCAACGGTACACGCGAACACTTCGTTTAAAAACAAACAATACAGCCCCCTCCTCTTTTCCATACCAGGCTCGGCCCATTCCTGGCTCGGCCTGCTCGAGAGGAACTCTCTGCACCGGGCGGCAGAGGTGCAGGTGCAGGGGGGACGTGGCGGGAGGGTGGCCCGGCTGAAGTTCCTCCTGGAGGGGACCAGACGGAGGACACAGTTTGCATTCCTCTCCAGCCCTGGAAGGGGTTAAACCTGCGGAGCCTTTTGCTAGAGAGGCCGCTTCTTTGCCGCGCCGCAGGATTGTCCTATGATCGGCACCTCCCCCCTAACCACAAGACCTCGACGGGACCTCTACGGGACGTCTGATCGCGCAACCGCGCAATATTTTGCTCCGGGGCAAACAGCCACGCTCCCCCCCCCCGCATTTTCCTGCCCGTGTGACTGGGCCCATAATATCTTTTATTAGAACCAAACAAAATAACACAAAACTGAGTAAGTGTTCAAGTTCACCAGAATTTTTCTGTAAGGATCCTGTGTTAAACGCTGAGCAGGTCTTCAGAATTAAAATGGTGCTCGTATTGGGTTGCACCTTTGGCCTTCTAGGAACAAGAAGCAAAACATGAAATCATCCCATTGAAAATACAGAAAACCAGCATCTGATTAAATGTCTGCATAGCATCAGACAGGACACATAGACTTATTAGAAGGTAGAAAGCAGATACAGAAAATGGCACTCAATTTACTAAAAAATACTAGAGAAGGGGTCCCCAACCTTTTTGAGCCTGTGGGCATATTTGGAATTCTGACACAGCATGGTGGATGCAGGAACAAAATGGCTGCCACAAAATGACTGCTGCAGGAGGTGGAGCCAGCCACAAAATGATTGCCACAGCTTAACTTAGGTAACACAGTGCAGATCCTTGTGCTGTGGTGGCCGCCGCCACCAAAGTGACATTTTAAAAAATCCATACAGCCAATCAAATCTCCAGTATTAAATCAGAATCCATGCTTGGGGAAAAGCCCTACCTGGCCCTGTCCACTTCCTAGAAACACTTGGTGGGCACCAGGAAAGGTGTCAGCAGGCACCATGCCACCCACAGGCACCACACTGGGGACCCTTGTACTAGAGATTAATTGCAGTTGGCCCACAGGTAAAGATTCAGTGAAAGTCATGTTGTGTAGTAGTGTGTTTGGGAGAAAACCCATAAGGGCCCCGGCCAGACGTGCCGGAAAACGTGGGGGGGGGGAAGCACGGCTATTTGTGTCATCGCATTCTGATGCGCTATTATGTGATCAGATGTGACGGCGGCTTCCCCGCAGCAAAGAGGACTACGGGGGAGGAAGCCGCGCGCCGGCGCAATCACACCGGGAGGCTTCCATAGGTGGCCCGTGGCAAAGCGTTTGCTAGTACATGCGGTGTACTAGTTTTTTACTGTGCGGCTTCGGCAACTTGCCACGGGGTCACTACCGGAGTGCTACGCCTCCCAGATGTTCTCATGTGATCATGCCCGGATTCTCCGCGGGACTCC